CAGTTAATCCCTCCATCCTATAATATCACAAGTTCCTACAATTATATATCAATTATCAAAAAATTTTAAGCCAATTAATTATACCATACTTGCATACTAAATATCATCTAGTGATATATATATATATATATATATATATATATATATATATATATATATATATCATATAGTTACTATCTATAGTGTAGTCATCAAATAAAAATTTTACAAATTCTTCACTCCAACAAAACTTAGGATGAATTCATAGCATCTTTAGGCATTGAAATTTTTTTCACTAACATTCCAGTCCATGAAGCAATAAACATTATTTGAAATACCATTTATCACAATTCTTCTCTGCTGCCTCTGAAAATGAATCCCGCAATATTAAAAAAAAAAAAAAAACTTTTATTAGCATCCACAACACAAATCCCTTTCCACGATAATCTTGGTAATATTTATACCCAAACTGATGGTGTCACTATGGGAAGCACACTTGGCCCTTTATTTTCAAACTTTTATATTGCCAATTTGTGAAACAAAATATTCAATAAAATAAATAAATGCATCACTTATGCCAGAGATATTGATGACATCTTCATCCGAACTAAATCCGTTAATGATATAAAAGAACTTAAAAACCTTTGAAAAAAATTCCATTTTAAAGTTCAATTATGAACTAAATATCAATAAAAAAAAATCCATAAATAATCTTCTAGATATTCTCTTTGACCATAACAGTGATAATTTTACAGCTCTATACAAACAGTCTACGAGTTCTAACTCTTGCCTACTAGACTACAACAGTGAATGCCCTGAAAAATATAAATTTGCTATCATTAATAACCTCATCCAAAGAGCTAAACTCATTTCCTTATCAAAAAATAATTTTCCTTAAATAATTAAATAATATAAAACCAACACCTATCAATAATGGCTCCCCTAATTATATAGTCGACAAGCAAATCAAATTTCATTTAAATAACAAATATTTTAATAATAAAAACGATAAACATATTATTGGCAATAAGGCTATTAACAAAATCAAATGCACCACAATTACAAAAACCGATAAAATAGCAATTGTTATATTCCATGCTAATAGGAATATATACTTGACAAACATGTTGGAAAATATAAGTAAAGGTTTAATGTTAAAAACCAGCACAATAAGAATAAATGTAACAGTTATGCACAAGGTTGTCACAAGTCAATCCAGTAGTGAGTGCTACTATTGGAAGGTCGGTAGTTCTTGCGTACGTCTGAGTTGAACTCAACAGATTCCAGCTAGTCAATATTTACTAGCGCCCCCCACAAGGGTAGATGTGGCACAAAGCCGAGTTTAACGTGGGTCTTCCGAGCCCATAGGCTCAACCAAAAAGTCCCTATAGAACCCGCATAAATGGGATTGGGTTGATCTACCTCCCCAAATGAGACTCTGCCCTTTGGCAGAGCCTCGTCCAGGTTCCTCTTTGCTTGAAGGCAGAGAGTTCAGCCGTCTAGCTGGAACAGATCCCAGCTAGTATATTTAGCAAACCCCCACCCAACGAGGGTTGCATGTAGTACAAGGCCGGTTTAATGTGGGTTCTCTCATCTCAGAAAACAGCTACCCAACCACATTTTATACAGGGTCAATGGGGAATTTTTAGCCAAGCCTTTGGGCTCAGATATCTCACATTAAATTCGGCCTTGTGCCACATCTGACCACGTGGGGCAGTTAGTAGATATCCTGCAGTTGGAGATTCACTGTGGAATTCACTTGAGTCACTTCTAGCAGTTGACTACTTCTATGTGCCACTGGCGAATCTTATATGTGTTGTTCTTGTCCTAAGTATTACCGTTCATTACCAACCTTCATGTGATTATTCTATTCAGTAATCTTCCCTAGGTTACAACACAAACCATTTCAAAATTTTATTAAGCTCACCAATTATCTCTATTATTATTTTTGATGATATTTTAAGAAAGTCAAAAGCTTGAACCATATTTCTTGTACTTTTCTTCCCAAAATAAACTTTGGTCTTCTGAAATAAATTTTGGACAATTTCTGACAGAATTTCCTCTTTGTCTGAGAAGGATTATTTGTAACTTGGATAAGTTGATCATTAAAACTAATAGACACAAAATTTCAGTCATTTTTAATTATTTTTTTCTTTAAAGAACAGTTGCTGTCTAAATACACAGAATATATATGTGGCCATAGATATATGAAATTAAGCTATGTATGCATTGTATAGCTCAATATATATGATAAAAGTATATTTTTAAGGTATGCTATATTCATGGTTAAAAGTGCACAATATCAGGGATATAGCATATATAAATATAAAATATAGAATCAGCTTATGACAAAAACAAACATAGGAAAAATATTCATTAAAGTCATATACAAGCACTACCCCCACCCCCGCATCAAATATTCTCTACAAATATACTAAAAAAAAAAAACAATAAAAATCACCTTTCACCAAAACACAGCACATATGGTCAGAATATTGCATTCAAGCATGAAACAGACTGTCACTGATTGGTGTTGACTTCAGTGAAAAAATTTTTATTCAAAAAGTGTGGAAAAAAATGTAATAGGAAAGAACAGTTAGATTAAGGATCCAAAGTTCTTTAGTTTTTTATTTATAAAAAACTATGATCGATACAGAAGTAAAGCTCAAATTATAATTTTTTTTTTTTTAAATATGATCCAATCACAACACAAAAATTAATGTGTTTTGAAACTTGACTCAAGTCCTAAAGCTTAATTTCAATATTAAACTTAAAATTTCATGATGGAATCATATTTTTTAAAAAAATAATGATATATATATATATATATATATATATATATATATATATATACACGCATGCATGCACACATAAACACACAAACTAAAGTCGGACATTTTACTAAGAGAACTTGATTGTTTTATTACCCAGTTCATCCATCAGGCCATATAAACAGTCAGTAATTTTATAAATTAAGGATGAGACAGATGAGAGTACTTAAATTCTCTTTTGTACATATTTTTTTTCTTGTTAGCCTGGCTTTGGCTTTGTCAAGCAAAAATGGTTTAATCAAGTCCAAATGGAAGCTGCAGACAGGGTTTTTAAAACAAGGGCTGACACGAGAGGAGTCTCTTTTTGTATACAGTGTAGGATAATGTCAAATCAGAAGTTATTGTTATCAGTGGGAAATTGCATGTAGTCATTTGTAATTGAGAAGATAACATTAATAAAAGGTGGGGAAGATTAGAACCCTGGGAAATATTGGAGGTGATAAAATTGGCATGGGAAGGAGAGAAGTAAAGATGGAGAGAAGGAAAAAGTGTAGGAAAATTCAGGGGAGATAAAGGAGAATAAAAAAATAGAAAGAGCAAAGAGAGAAAAACAGTGAAAAGAAGGTAAAGAGGAAATGGGAAGAGAGAAAGTGTAAAGAGTCAGTCAGTGAAGAGGGAGAGAGAGAAATAGTGAAAAGATAATGAGAGAGAATGAATGAAAAGAGGAAAGTGAAAGAGAGAAAAGGTTAACAATGAAAGAAGGGACTGAGAGAAAGAGTAAATGCAGAGAGAATAAATAAATGTGATGAAAGAGATGGGAGTGAGTCACAAGAAAATAAATGAAAGAAGAGTAAGTGAAGAGAATGAAGGGAGTGGAAAAAGAAAAGAAGATAAGAAATGAGAGAAAAAGAGAAAACATGAGGAAAAGGTAAATATAGAAAGAAAGTAGCATAAAAAGGAAGAACAAGAGAAAAAACTGACAAAGTGAGTGAGTGGAAAGAGAGAAAAGTGGAATAGAAAGAGAGAAAAGAGAGTGAGTGGAAGAGGGAAAGAAAAGACAGGGAGTGGGAAGAGAAAGAGAAAAGATTGAGTGAAAGATTGAGGAGAGTGTGGAGAAAAAGAGAGCATGTGGAGAGAGGAGAGACAGAGAAAAAGAAAAGAGAGTGGGTGAAGAGAGAAAGAAAAGAATTTTAAAAAAGAGAAAGAAAAAGAGAGTTGGGTGAAGAGAAAAAAAAAAGAGAGGGTGAAGAGAGAAACAAAAAGAGATTAGGGTGAAGAGAGAATGAAAAGAGAATTTATGAAGAGAGAAAAAAAAAGAGAGTTGGTGAAGAGAGAAACGAAAAAGATTGGGTGAAGAATAAAAGTAAAGAGAGTTTTGAAGAGAGAAAGAAGTTTTTTTATGAAAGATAAAAATTAAAGAGAATTTTGAAGAGAGAAAAAAGAGAGTGGGTGAAGAGAGAAAGAAAAGAAAGTGGGAGAAGAGAAAAAGTAAAGAGAGTGGGTGAAGAGAGAAAGAAGAGAGAGTGGGTGAAGAGAAAAAGTAAAGAGAGTGGGTGAAGAGAGAAAGAAAAGAGAAATTTGAAGAGAGAAAATAAAGAGAAAAAAAAGAGAGTGAGAAAAAAAGGGGTGAAGAGAAAAAAAAGAGAAAGTGGGTGAAGAGAGAAAAAAAGAAAAAGAAAAAAAAAGAAAATTTATTTGGGTGAAGAGAGAAAGAAAAGAGAGTGAGTGAAGAGAGAAAGTAAAGAGAGTGGGTGAAGAGAGAAAGTAAAGAGAGTGGGTGAAGAGAAGAAAAAGAAATGATTGAAGAGAAAAGTAAAGAAATGTGGAAAAGAGAAAGAAGAGAGAGTGGGTGAAGAGAAAAAGTAAAGAGAGTGGGTGAAGAGAGAAAAAAAAGAGAGTGGGTGAAGAGAGAAAGAAAAGAGAGTTGAAGAGAGAAAGAAAAGAGATTAAAGAGAGAAAGAAGAAAGGGTGAAGAGACTTTTTGAAAAGGTGAAGAGAGAAAGTAAAGAGATGGGTGAAGAGAGAAAGAAAAGAAAGTCATTTTGAAAGAGAAAGAAAAAGAGGGTGAAGAGAGAAAGAAAAGAAGTGGGTGAAGAGAGAAAAGAAAAAGAAAGGTGAAGAGAAAAAAAAGAAAGGAAGAGAAAAAAGAAAAGAGAGTTGGTGAAGAGAGAAAGAAAAGAAATGAAAGGAAGAGAAAGAAAAAAGAGATGGAAGAAGAAAGAAAAAAAGAGAAAGTGAAAAGAAAAGAATTCAAAAAGAGAGGGGTGAGAGAAAAAAAAAAGAGAAAGGGTGAAAGAGAAAAGAAAAGAAAATTGGGGTGAAAGAGAAAAAAAAGAGAATGGGTGAAGAGAGAAAAAAGAAAAGGGGTGAAAAGAAAAAAAGAGAATGGGTGAAGAGAAAAAGAAAGAGAGGGGTGAAGAGAGAAAGAAAAGAATGGGTGAAGAAGAGAAAGAAAAGAGAGTTGGTGAAGAGAAAGAAAAGAGAGGTAGAAAGAGAAAAGAAGAGAAAGATTTGAAGAGAAAAGAAAGAGAGAGGGTGAAGAGAAAAAAAAAGAGGGGTGAAGAGAAAGAAAAGAGAGATGGGTGAAGAGAGAAAGAAAAGAGAGTGGGTGAAGAGAGAAAGAAAAGAGAGAAGTGAAAAGAAAAGAAAAAAAGAGTCATGATTCAAAAAGAAAGAAAGAGGAGTGAAGAGAGAAAGAAAAAGAGAAAGAGGTGAAAGAGAAAGAAAAGAGAATTGAAGAGAGAAAGAAAAGAGATTTTGAAGAGAGAAAAGAAAAGAGAAAGGTGAAAGAGAAAAAAAATCTGGGTGAAAGAAAGAAAAGAAAAAGGGGTAAAGAGGAAAAAGAAAAGAGAAGTTGAAAAGAGAAAGAAAAGAAATATTTGAAGAGAGAAAAAAAAAAGAAAAGAAGAGAAAGAAAGAAAGAGAGGTGGAAGAAGAAAAGAAAAGAAAGATAAAAAGAGAGAAAAAAGAGAAGGGTGAAGAGAGAAAGAAAAGAGAGGGTGAAGAGAGAAAGAAAAGAAAGAGGGTGAAGAGGCTGAAAAAAAAAAAATAAGGGTGAAGAGAGAAAAAAAAAGAGACAATAGACTAAAAGAAAGAAAAGAGAGGAGTGAAGAGAAAAAAAGAAAGGGTGAAGAGAGAAAGAAAAGAGAGTGGGTGAAGAGAGAAAGAAAAGAGAGTGGGTGAAGAGAGAAAGAAAAGAGAGTGGGTGAAGAGAGAAAGAAAAGAGAGTGGGTGAAGAGAGAAAGAAAAGAGAGTGGGTGAAGAGAGAAAGAAAAGAGAGTGGGTGAAGAGAGAAAGTAAAAAGAGTGGGTGAAGAGAGAAAAAAAAAGAGAGAGAGAAAGAGAGAATTTTTCAGATTGGGTGAAGAGAGAAAGTAAAGAGAGTGGGTGAAGAGAGAAAGAGAAAAGAGGATCAAAGAGAAAAGAAAAAAGAGAGAAATAGAGAAGAGATAATGAGAGAAAAGAAGAGGAAAATAAAAAATGAGAAAATGGTAAACTTAGAGGAAAGTAAGATGAAAGGGAACAAGAGAGAAAAAGTAAAAAGTGTGTGATGTGAAAAGAGAGAAAACAAGAAAAAGAAAGGTGAAAGTAGAAGAAAGAACAAGAAATTAAAAAAGTTATTCAAAGGAGAAAAGAAAGAGAAATAGTATCATCTATATAATAAATGCTAATGTCAGTGAGTCATTGTGTCACACTTTTTCAACTTTACACCTAGAAGCCATAACCCAACACATCATACCATTTTGGAATCAGGCCGACTTTGTGAGTAAATTAAAAACATTCTGTGCCGGATCCAGACCTGTAATACTGAAATTTTAGATTCCCAGGTTTTCATTACTGTGACAGTTTTTGGATTCCGCCATCTTGGCTTCTACTTTGAAAGACAATTAAGGTGACATAACTCCCTAACTTTCAATAGCTCATGTTCAAATGAAAAAATTACTGTTCCCAAGTTACAGCAATTCAAAATAAAATTGTCCATGTTTTCAACTTTACTTCTAGAGGCCATAGCCCAATATATCATACCATTTTGGAATCAGGCCAATTCCATGAGTAAATTAAAAACATTCCGGGCCAGACCCAAACAGGCAATCCTTAAATTTTGGATTCCCGAGTTTTCATAGCTGTAATTGTTTTAAGTGATTTTTTGTGACAAATTTTTTTGTACGATAACAATTTTTATAACTTGGAAATAAATTTGTGAATAATCAAAATTAATTAAAAAATCTAGCAAAAGTCACCCATGAAATAAAAATAATTGTTTGTACAGAAAGTAAAGACCTATGTACATCAAACTGTCTTTAAATTAAGTGGTGGCAGAAGAATTATTGTTGAACTTTTAAAAGGTAAGCTTAAATATTAATGCAATACTTAAATGCAACAATCAATTTTGAGTTTTTTATTTATTTTAATTTATTGTTGCCTATCACATCTACTCCTCCCGACCTATTCTGATGAAGGCCCAATCAAGTACCCTCCGCAGGAGCTAGCTTAAATCATGCCCAGTAGGGCAGCTTTTAAACTAGTCAGCAATATAATCTACTTGGATTATCACACATTTTCCACAAGGCCATAATTAGTGATCACTCAATGCAACTCCGGCTTTGTTAATGGCTTTAAAAACTACATGTAAACTACGAGAAAGGGGTCAATCTTTAGCAAAGATTATTAAAAAGAAATATCCCAGATTTGAAGACGAGACTGGAATTAAGTCCTTGAAGGAAGTTGAAATAGAAAAGATGAAGATAAGTCAAATAGATAAGAAGATAGAACTATTCCGTAAACAAAGGTTAACAATGCAGGAAGGAGGCAAAGATTAGACAAAATTTGGCTCACAGCAAATAGATATTTGGGCCAAGATTCAAGAAGAAAGTTTTGAATTTTTAACCAAAAATAATATCCCAGTTCATTCTTTTGCTGTTTTAATTATTTTTTGTTGCTGAGATTTCTATCTAATGGAAAAAAAAAAAACATTTAAAAAGAAAAAATTTGAAAGTTTCAACACTTATCATTCTTAATTCGATGAAATTTTGAGATATTTATTGCCTCAGGAAACAAAAAAAAAAAAGAAAGTGAAAATGTTTTTTATATCAGAAACTGGCTTGATCATTTCACCCCAAGCAAGGTGATAAAGTCCCTAAGTTGCAAGAGGTTACTGAGTGAAAGAAACAGGCAAAACGTTGAAAGGACATTAAAAAAAAAAAACCCAGGATTCAAAGAGACACATTTAAACTTTTGAAGATTGTGGTTGGCAGGAAGCCAAAAGAGAGTTTCACAAATGAGAAATATGAGAGAAAAAAAAACATTAGCACAAATGAAAAAAAAATATGTATTTTCAATCATCAATTCATTTTCTCAGAAAAGAAAGAGATTTTCTTTAACTAAGAGCAAAGAATTAGCATTAAATTTAAAAACAAGAAGTAAATACTGGAAATTTATTTCCTAAACATTCAATTTTGTCAGTGAAAATATTTCATTACCTATTTGGTGACTTTGATTCATTCATATTTTACATGTTATCACCCCATTGAAGTTAACATAATGTCAAAACATTGACTTGGGATTTTAAGAATAATTCCTTTTTGTAAATGAATATTGCATTAAAAATTTTTTGAGAACAACATTGAATTTCCAGAGCCATGTCCTACTATTTAATCCACAACTGAGGAAAGTATATGGTTTCCCATCTTTCTCAAGGGTATTTGCACATAAATAAATGAATTGGGATCAAATACAAAATCAAATATGGATCGGAATCTGACAGAATGATAAGATAAAGAATAAATAAGAAAACATCAATCTAACACGTTTCAGTTTTATCAAAGCTTCATCAGAGAATGAAATATAGAGAAAAAGAAGAAAGAAAATCAGATATTTTTTTACTTTTGTATTGTTTGATTTTCATTGGTTAATCAGTTTTCACATGCATATGACTTATTAAACAAATGTTAGTACAATTTATGATGTTCCAAATTCAAGGAGAGACAATGTGCCCTTTCAAAGTTCCAAGAAATTAATGGATTCCAAACCGGACAGAAAAAATGTAAATATTGCCTTATGTATGTAAGTGTATAATAACTCTAGTTTGTCTATGTGGGATTCAGATGATTATTTATATCCTTAAGTGTGTGTGTGTGTGTGTCTAGTAGACATAATGTTTGGAGGTTTTTCACATGTTGATTTGAGAACATTTTTACATACACAGCATAATAGAATGTAATGAACTCAACTGGAATTTGAACTTGGCCCTCATATTTCTGAGTTACTATCCATAACATCACCCACACATTCTTACCATTTAGTAAGAAACATTGCTCATTGTTCACAATATTCAGTCAGAAAAACAAATTGGGAGACAAAAAACATTCTAAATATTTCTACATTCCAAAAATAGTTTGCGCACTGCACAGAGATCTTCATATACAGATATGTCAATACTTTATTTCTTCTTTAATCAGAGTTACTAGGATAGAAGACTTTTCAATGTGTAGCTGCCAGCGATAATGTCCCAGGGATAATTCTGCTGTTAGCAAAGGCAAGTGCAGGAAATGTCTGTGGAAGAATGGTTTGTTCTGTAATCTTTCAGGAGATTTTTTTTCTCACACACTTCTTTTCTTTCTCAAAGTGTAGGCAGTTTTATATAGCACCCTTGCAAGAATCTGATCGGTTTTGGAAGCGAACAAAGGAAAGCATGAGAAGGTCCTCTGTGAAATTATCATTTGCATTCTGAGAGATAGCTAGCATTGAATAATAATTCTGAAAACAACTCCAACGAAAAAGGGAAAAAAAAAAAAAAAAAAAAGAGAAGCAAAAGAGAGAAAGAAAAATATTGACAACTTTATTGTTTCCTCAGAAAGAGTTTAATTCTAACCCCCCAAATATAAAAATATTTTCATATAGCATATCCATCTGGTCCACATTTTGTTGCAGATACTGTCTTTTTATTCAAGAACTTTAATTACTTTTATGGATATCATTGGTAATCACATTAAAGAAAAAAAACTTTTCATCAGCACGGTTCCAGTCAGTCAACTAAAAATAAAGAGAGAAAATTAGGTCAAATATTATTGATTTTGTACATTTATTGTATAAGACTGGAATTAAACTCCATCCCCATGTCAATAGCCATTGACGGTTATGGCGTTATTGGAACACATCAGTGATTAGAACAAGAGTTTAATGAAGCCAGAAATGCAATGAGGAAAACAAATATTGAAATTATACTATATTTTTTAAACACCAAAGATATTTATGACAGAAATTTGGGATAAAAAATAATGTCATTATTATTGTTGTTTTTTAATGTAGCAACAACATAGTATGATTATGTGTCATGGATAACATTGTCAAGAGCTACCTCTTATTATATGAGGGTCATCAGAGAAGAATGTCATTTTGTGAAATTATTATTGAATGATAAAAAAATGAAAAAAAGGACAGAAAATAAAACAAAGAAGAGGGTAAATAAAAAGAAAATATAATGCTAAAACAAATTACAAATAAAAATGAAAAACAAAAAAGTGAATGGAAAATAAAAAAAAGGAATGAAAATAAATAAAAAATGAATGAAAAATAATTAAAAGTTAAATGAAAAATGAATAAAAAAATCAATGAAAAATTAATAAAAAATGAATGAAAAATAAATAAAAAATTAAATGAAAAATGAATGAAAAATGAATAAAAGATGAATGAAAAATGAATAAAAAAAATATGGATGAAAAATAAATGAAAAATGAATGAAAAATAAATAAAAATGAATGAAAAATAAATAAAAAATTAAGTGAAAAATAAGTAAAAAATGAATGTGAAAATAAATTAAAAATTAAATGAAAAATAATTAAAAAATTGAATTAAAAATAAATAAAAAAAATGAATGAAAAGTAGATGAAAAATAAATTAATTTTTTTAAATGACAAAAAAAAATATTGAGAGAAAAGTCAATGAAGAAAAGTAGACGGGAAGAAAAAAAGAGAATGAAAAAATTAAGAAAGAAGTGAAAAGATATAAAACTTTGAAATTGAAATGAGTGAAAGAGAACAATGAAGAAAAAAATTAAAAAAATAGGGAAGAAGAAACAATTTTATAAAAATAATTAATGAACAAAAAGATTAAAAAAAGAAAGATAAAAAGTGAAAACAATGTTCAACAACTTAAAAAAATAAAAAGAATATTAATCTAGAAGAAGAAGAAAAAAGCAAATGTAATCCAAAAAGTTTCTTCTTCAGTGAATAACAAACAAAATGATAATGAAGAATTGACATAATCCCACATTCTTTTTAAACTACTCTCTGAGCAAATTTTGCTTTTCAGTTATTCCTGAAAAAAAAAAAAAAAGAAACAAAGATTTTGGGAAAAGATCCAAACATAAATTACAAACTGATTCCTTCATTTGCAAACACTTGAACCTTACCTTAATGTAAATGTGCACATAATGAGACCCGACGGATGAATGAAAATCAAACAAGGCTTGTAAATTAACTTTTGCAGTAGGCAATGAAAAGAAAAGTGATAAATACACAAGAGACATACACCATGATTTTATGCTCTGTTGCATATTCAATAAATTGGTTTCAATTCTAGTTTCTTTTTTCAAAACAAATAAACATCCAAAGAAATAAAACCAAATAAGCATTATCAATGGAAAAAGACAATAATGAAGATTATTTTTTCTCTTTTCAACTCTTATTCTAAGTTAGTGAGAGTCAAGGTCATTTAACCCATTGTATCTGACAAGTCATGTAAATAGAAAAATACACTTAATATTCTTTAGATATCATCAAAATTTTAAAAATCTACCAACTGTTGATAAATATACAAAAGTCAGTTAGTATCTGTCTATATTTCTGAGATGGGGTATTATGTACACTATTTACATTATTCGGACTATTGTCCTCTCCAAGTTCTCCACTGCCTTAACCAGGTATTGAACTCGCATTCTTTGGCACAGTGGATAAAGGCATTAATTAGATCCAGTGACAGGACCCAAAGAGTGTGAGTTCTATATCTGGTTAAGGCAGTGGAGAACTTGAAGATGGGAATTAACAGGAGATAACTGACATCCATTAGACATGGTACATGGAACTAGAACAGTTTACCCCAGTAAGTGAAATAACGAGTTCAGTTCAACATTCCAACTACCTGAAGAAGACCAGAGCATACAACGGCCGAAATGTTGTATTAAATATGGCAACAAAAGATGAGGACAATAGTCTGAATAATGTAAAAAGTCAGTTAGTTATCAATTTGTAAATAATGCAAGTGAAGAAATCATTGCTAAGTGTAAGTTCTATAACAATTTTGACAGTAAAATGATGGGACCTAATTAGCAATCTTTTCCTGCATTTAAATTAGTGAAATTGAGGTACCAAAGAGGAAAGTAATATTTATTTTGAAAAATGTAAAAATATGGCATGACGCCAAAAGTGTGGCAAGGAGAAGGCTGGTCTTCAATCTGTCTTATCTTAAGTTTAGCTAGCCACGATTACTGATCCAAACATTCTTCATTCATACCAAGCATTCTTCTGTATTCCTTAGACTAAAACAAACTTATTCTTACTTATCATTCTTACTACAGCCACCATAATAACTCAAAGTTTCTATGTAGTCCAAACTAGTACCCACATGTACAATTAGTCTGTGAGATGTGGGGAATAAAAATAACATTTAAAAATGAAACCCCAATGAATATTTACAATGAATACAATTTATATATAAGAAGCTAAACAAAATAGTGTTAGTAATAAGACCTCCACAAAAAAGTGCTAAAAAGTTACAGATGCCATAGCGTAACATTTGAAGCACTAAAAAGATACAGATGCCATAACGTAACATTGGAAGTGCTAAAAAGTTACAGATGCCATAACGTAACATTGGAAGTGCTAAAAAGGTACACATGCCATAGCATAACATGGCAAGAATTAAAAAGGTACAGATGCCATAGCGTAACATTGGAAGTGCTAAAAAGTTACAGATGCCATAATGTAACATTGGAAGTGCTAAATATGTCCATTTTCTGCCTAAATTTATGGGATAAGGAGTTAACATTATTTCAACTCAGAGAAATGTCTTTGTCTTACTTGTTATTATCACAATGTTTTAGCCATTGTCTCCTCTCTCCAGTGGTAGCTTCCTACCACTTTGTGTGAACCAATTCTTAAAATTATAAAGGCTTAGTGAACTGGTTTTTAGATTATCCAAAAATAAAATTATATATTAATAGCTCAATAGTCAAGGTGAAAATGTTAGTTATGCTGTGCTTGCATACACCCTAGTAACTCTAACTGTAATATGCCCCCTACCACAAATAATAAACAGCAGTCAGGGAAGAAGAAAAAAAAAGTAAAAGATAGCTATGTAGAAAAATTGATGAGAGAGAGTATTGATAGAAGTCAGACAGCAACAAATTCACCAAAAATTCACACACCATTTAATGAACCTTTGAACTTGCTATTCAATGACCACTTCTTTCTTTCAGGATTTACACTTTCTTATTCTTGGTCAAGATTCACCCTATCTTTTAATTTAAACTGAACAATGGCTTTATTAAGAATTCACTCCAAATTTCTATATTGTGTATATCAAAACATCACCATCCAAATTTTTAATGTTTACTAATTGATCACTATCTGCTTTTTGTTTTTACAGCAGAATGCATCAGGTTTTAACGAGATATTGTGCAGCATTTAAGTTTAGGTTCTTAAAAAGCTGTCGCTTGTTACAAACTGTCCATTTCTTAATGGCAACTGAGTTCTTTTTTATACTAAAGTGATTTGTTTCCATTTTCAGAATGAAAAGAAAATAAGCAGAATAGATTCCGAAAGATTATCTGCCTTTATAGAACCGGTTCCTGCAAATTTGGAATGCCATTATTGCCTCCATCCTTTTAGAGGTGTCTGTCAATCTGAGTAACTATCAAGGAATTTTGAATTGAACATTTCTCCTGTGAGATATTTCTCATCCTACTGTCCATATCTGGAGATATCTCTTATTTTTCATTTCAGTACATGACAACCGAGTGGATTAAAGTGTTAGCTTCTGATTTTGGTGATATAGTAATTGTGAGTTCAATCCCTGGGCCTATTGTTGATGTATGGATACATTTTCATATGCTTATACTGTGTTAGAAAACTTAAATGGTCTGCTGTCAATGTAGACATGTTTCAAGAAGAATTCATATTTTTCAAGACATATCTCTTTATCAATTTTACACTGACTGCTGTTGACATACACAAACATTTTCAAAACATCTCTTTATCAATCTTACATCAACTGCTGTTGATGTACATATACACTTTCAAGAGACATCTCTTTAGAAATCTTACATCAACTGCTGTTGATGTACATATACACTTTTCAAGATATATCTCTTTAACTGCTGTTGATGTATATATACATTTTCAAGACATCATGACATGTCAGTACTTCGTATTTGGATTATAAACTAACTAGTACTTAGTGCTATATCTAAACTGGTGTAGATATATATTAGTATACAACATGACTGGTTTTGTGACATTTTTTTTTTATATTTTGTTTTGGAGGTGTTGTTTACCTTCGTCTGTATACAACCAGGCAAAAACTTCATCATCAGTTATTTATTTCTAATAAACAGTAATTTCCTATTTTTCCCAAAATAGCCAGCACAGCCAGGCAGCAATGGTATAACAATACAGCAGTTAAAATCTTAAGATATATAATGTAAATAAACTCTTTAAAAATTAAGAATAATTAGTTAATAATTACCTGTCTATATTTCTGCGATGAGGTATTGTAATGATTTACACTATTTACATCATTCAAACTGTTGTCCTCATCTTTAATGTCATATTCACATTTCAGCAGCTGTACACTCTGGCCTTTTTAAGGATCTGTCTATATTTCTGAGATAAGATATTGTAATGATTTACACTATTTACATCATTCAAACTGTTGTCACCCTCTTATTAGCCATATTTACAACATTTTGGCTGTTGTATGCTCTGGCCTTCTTCAGCTGATATACATCAGAATTTTGAACCAAACCTCTTATTTAGTTCACTGGGGCAGATTGTTTTAATTTTATGTACCATGTTTTCTGTATATCTCTGTTTCAGTTAATTCCCTTTAGTAACTCTCCAAGTTTTTTTTTTTCTCTTTGCTTTGGCTAGGTATTGAACTCACAACTCTTTGGGCCAAATCACTCTTTGGATTACTCAAACAATGTTTTATCCACTAGGCCATGTGTCCTTGGTGAAATTCCATTGTATATCACGTGATGAAGAATGGAATGTATAATGGCCGAAATGTTGTGAATATGATAATAAAAATGAGGACAACAGTCTGAATGGTGCAAATAGTTAATAATAATTAGTTACCTAAAAACTTTCAGCTCTCAATAATTTGAAATTCTTTACCACTGAACACAACGTAGCTGTGTTTGTAGAGAAAAAAAAAAACATGACATTTCAATTCCTGTCAATTTTTAAATAAATTGCAGCAATAATTGGTTTTATTTCTTCTTGTTTCAGGAGTTTAAATTCCTGGGAAATTGACACCCACATTTTTTTCTTTTTCCCTTGGGAATCAATTAAATTATTTGACAGAAACATTTTACCGAAAATGGAAGGAACTATAAAAAGCATTTTAAGGCCTTGGTTTGGGAGGATAAAAACAACTTCAAATCTGATTTAGATGGGAATAGGATTTATTTTCATCAATAATATCTACAAATACAGGATACGTGCATTTGGTGGGAGGTTCATTTATAAATGCTGAAGATTTAAGTTTGTACACATTTGATTAAGCAAATATAAAAGTGATGTGATTATATTTTGTTGTGTTAAATTTCTGACTTCCATCAATGTCTCTGTGGAGCTGAAGGCCGCAGTCACACCACGTTAGGTGTGGCTGCTTTGGGTTCTGTAGCAATCATTCTTTTTAGGAGATGAAGTTTAGAACCCAGAGGGTGTCTTCTTCACAACTGATTACCATCAAAGCTAGCAAACTTTGTCTAACCTGCAATTTAACCAACAGCTGGACAGCGGGGACAGTTACATGTCTTTCCCATGTTTATTTATGTAGAAATGAACACACTGAATTTGGGTGGAATTGCTACTTGACAGGTCAGTACTTTCCATGTTAACAATAATGACACTATGTTTGTTATGTTTAATTATTGATGTGTTTATATTTAAATATTCAGAGGAAATTCCTTACATACATATATATATATATATATACACTAACAGCATGGCCCAGGGTTGCCCATGCTTGATTCAAAAATTGTACGACTCATACAGCAAACGCTATCATTTGACTTAAAATACTTTTGCCCTTCCTTGCCTTTAAAGGAGTGCTCTTTGCCATGCTGATGTTGCTACATGCCTTACTTCTTGCCTATCTCACACTGCAAATTTTTTCTAAGCTCTATACTAAACATTATATCTGTTACGAAAAAAGAAATAAACAAAATGAACACAAAACAATCAGCTTTAAAAAAGGACTCATAACTGGAAAAACCGAATGAAAAAAAATGTTAACAACAAATACTTTATCACACCCAACCCAGTTCTGCGGAATCAGAATCAACATTGAGTTTAAGCAAGCGAATGAGCCAATTGGAGTAAAGTGCTATGCAGATTTAAATTTTTCCCACTTGTGACGAATGCAGCTATCAATTTTTTTTGCATGCTAGCATGCTAGTTAACATTTATGTCAGTCAGCTGTTGGCTCTCACGCTGGCCAATAGAATCTTCCTGCCTATTTGTGGCAGCCAGCTATAGGCTCTCACTCTGGCCAGTACAAAATAGCCGCAAACTACATGAAAACTGCCATACAAGCATGAAAAAATTGATTATTTCCGCTATCAATGGAAGTTGGGAAATGCAAAGTCAGTGTTGGCTTTCCCACTAACTTGGAGCATGTGCATGTAAATTTTGGTGCAAAGCCGTTGAAAATTGCAGCTGTACATTCATTACACACACACACACACATCCTGCCTTATATATATATATATATTTAAAGATATTTTTGTAGGTACAAAATTTAATGATCGAAATAAAAGTATAAAATTTAATATTACAAGACATATTAAAAGTTTTTAAAAATAAAAAAAAAAAAAAAACTCAACAACAAAGGGAAGCAACTGGTTTCGCTCCTGCTCGTCATTTTTCCAATGGAGATTAACAAATTTAAAACAGAGAAATTTTACAGTAAGAACAGGAGTTTACAAAAAAAAAAAAATTAAACTACACATATATATATATATATATATGAATATCTGTTATATATATGATCAAGAAGGAATATAGAGGCAGATGACAAGTGAGTCCCATACAAACACTTAACGTTGTTTGCAAAAAGAAACTTTTTTAGGACCCGATGTAAAGTGCCTCCAGAACCTTTTAAGATGAAAAATATTGAGTTACTTACATATAAAATTGCCACGGTGAACCAGTCGACACTAAATTTGCACAATCTCTGCTATTTAAAAGGTTGATAGTTTATTTGTTTGAATTGAAGGTGTTCGGGACAAGTCCATTTCTCAAGGCAAGATAGCCCAATGGCTGTCCACACTCCTGGATCCTGTGTTGCAGTTGCCTGGATGGTTTTTGTATCAAAGGATTCATTTTTTCCTTTGTTGACCGTGTTACAAAATTATCTTCTTCGGTATATTTTCATGTGATCTTTCGATGTTTCTTCCTTGTATACTTGTGTCCCTTTGATGGAAACCATCAATATTTATTTGCTCCTGATTCTATAAAAAGTTCATTAACTTCACCTAGTTTTCCTGAGTCAATTTTTCGGGAATTGATGAAATTTATAAAATCCTTCCGTTGAATTCAGTTTCAACAATACTATGTACCGACAGATCGAATAGAAATTTTGCTATGGGCTCTCCTTTGGGTCCAATGCACTTTCTAACATATTTGTTGGCTTCCAGGAAAAAAAGATACGAAGGAATCCACTTTGTCCTCAACTGTACTATCGGTATGTGGACGACACCTTCTGTTTATTTAATGGTGAAGTTGAGGCTGACCATTTTCTTTAATTTTAAAAATGGCATCCATCCGGCACTAAGGTTCACTATTGAAAAAAAGTCTAATCATCAATTGGCTTTTTTTGGATGTATTAGTGTTAATCATATACGTCAACAGGTTTTCTTACTTCCGTTTATAGAAAACCTACTTTTTTAGGGTTATAAACGCGTTGGGACTCTTTTTGTCCCACTAAAGCAAAAAAACATTATCAAAACCCTCCTCCACAGAGCATTAAAAATTTGCTCTGAGCCTTTTCTGAAATGAAATTAACTTTATTAAGGATACCCTATGTAATTTGGGTTATCCTCTTGATACTGTTAATTCAGTTATCCGTAGTAAAGTTGAAAAGTTCAGAAGTTTGATCTCTACACTGTCAAAAAATGCCCTGTTTACCTCAGATTAAATGGAT